TATATATTTAAAGTGTTTTATACTATCATGTAACATATCTAATGTTCGACACATGCATATATGATTTTGTTGTGTTGCAAATGCCGTAAAAACTCTTGCTAAAACTAGTGAATCTGTCCCAGCACTAAATGACCGTAATTGTGTCGATGCGCTCCTCTTTTTACCCAAACTCTTGTCTGGTGTTTCGGGAGGTCCTTCGTTCTTTAATCCCCTCTCTTGTCTCCCCACCAGCTCTAAGTGGCCGTTATTGTGCCGACACGTGGCTCTCTTTACTCAAACTCTGTCTGGTCTTGTCACCAGCAAAACGAAACCCTTCCCTGCTCTCCCGTACATGTATGGGGGGGGGCGTCTCGCGGCGCGGAGCCCGGTAACATAACTGGCCACCGTGGACGCCCTTATCTGTGAGCGCCGAGGTCGCACTAAAATTTCACGCCCATTTTGTCCGTTTATTTCCATCACACGAGGCTCATGATGAAATTAGGGAGATGCCAAGATCGATTTAGACGGGTTAGTGACGCGGGAGAATTTTTTTGTTTCTGGTTTTTTTTTCTGTAGCAGGCTTGGGTGCGGAATATATTGGAGACTATTAAAAACCAATTCGTGCAGGCATTTTAGATCGTAATAGGGTTGGCGATGGGTTTGAAAAGAGGGGCAGACATAGGAGATGGGAGACTCTTGGTAGTATTCGTGACTTGCATACCACAAGTCAGTAAAAGATTCCTCTCGTTTTTCTCATATCATCAGGGGAATTTGGGCGCTGTCTTTTGGAGTAGCTTAGGAAAATGTTGAACCTGTAAGTTTTTCCTGACGTTAAATCCTTATTTTTTAAAAACCTCCTCCGCCTCGTCCTCTTCCTCGTCGTTATCCTTGTCCTCTTCCTCGTCGTTATCCTTGTCCTCTTCCTCGTCGTAGTCCTCGTTTTCGTCCCTACCACTGCCTCCATAATCGCCATCGTCGTCATCACCATTGTCATGTCTTGCAAAAATGAAGCAATAAAGCCTTGGTACTTATTAATTCTGGTCTTCAATTAACTTCTTTATGTTAGAAATAATCGAGCTTAGAAGGGGCTCGGTATTTAGCCAAGTAGGCCTCATCAATTGCATCTAAGTGTAAAAGAGGATTCCCTACATTTTGAACTTTAATGAGTTGTCTAAAGCGTCATATGGGTCTTCATCATGCTGAGAATTAGCATTGTCGTCATCAGCAGCAGAAACAAAGTCATTAGCCTCTCGATAATAATGAGAATAATAATAATCATAATCATAATCATAAATCTTCAGTCACCTGTGGCCTTCTGTATGAAGATAGTGTTAATGAGCTGGCCGTACATAAGGGGGTGCTCTGGTAGATCAGATGATATCATGCTTGTCTCTGTAGCGTATGGCCCTGGTTCGAATCTCCGACAGGGTGTTTTTGAGATCAGATTGTTTTCTAGGGTTCTCGACCCAATTGGCTGGGTCTTAATGGAGATGGAC